TCCTCTATTGATGCCACACATGTTCAGCGAGGTGTCTTTACTCTGGCTAGTTGGAGCTCAGATACCTCCTAGACTTGTGTGACACCTGGGAATTATTTAGCTTACAGCTCCAGTAGTCATTACAGTACCTGGTTGCTTCCCTGGCTTCATGGAGTCTTGCTCTACTATGTGCAGCTTACTATTTAGCTAGACTCAAAGGGATCCTTATGCAGATTTTTGTGTACCTTCCCCACAGTTAATACTGTGCTCCACTAATTTCAGCCACACTGCTGAACTCTGTGAACCCCCTGTGCCCTGCTTAGATTCTCTTTCCCTGAACTGCATTCCACAAAGTGCCTTTTGGTAGTTCATTGGACTTACCACATTTGCTTGCTCTCTCTCAGGGTTCACTGACCTGTATTGCCTATTCAGTGGCAGAAAAGGTATTTTTTATATTTTGTCCAATATTCTAGTTGTGTATGGTAGAAATGCAAGTTGTACTGGTTAATCAATCATGGCCAGCATGTCATTTATATATATATATACATACATACATACATATATGTGTGTGTATGTGTGTGTGTATATATATATATATATACACATATATATACACATATATATACATATAGAGAGAGCTGGTGCTTATTCTTTTCGAGATTTGTTTTATATAAGCCTTCTTTAAAAAATTTTTTTTATTGAGATGTAATTGATACATGATAAACTATACATATTTAACTTGCACAACTTATAAGTTTTGACATACACACACACACTCATTAAACCATCGCCACAGTCAAGGTAGTGAACGTATTTGTCACCCCCCAAAATTTTATTGTGCCCCTTGAAATCCTTCCCTGCCTCTCTATTTTTCCCTGCATTGCCAGGCAGCAGTTGATCTGCTTTCTGTCATTATAGATTAGTTTGCATTTTCTATAGATTTATATATAAAGTAGCACATCATATGGTATTTTCTTTTGGGGGGGTTTTCTTTCACTCAGCAAAATTACGTTTAAGATTTATCCATGTTATTGCATGTATCAATAGTTCTTTCGTTTTTACTGCTGGGAAGTATTCCACTATGTGGATATACCATGGTTTGTTTATCCACTCATCTATTGATGGACATCTGGGTTGTTTTCAGTTTTTGGCTGTTAAAAATAAACATGTTACAAACATTTTTGCACAGGTTTTTGGATGGACATTTATTTTCTTTTCTCTTTGGTAAATACCTAGAGTGGAATGGCTAGATCATGTGGTAGATGTATTTAACTTATTTAGAAACTGCCAAGTTGTTTTCCAAAGTGGTGTTCAATTTTACATTCCCATCAGCAGTGTATGAAAGTTTCAGGTCCTCCACATTCTTACTAGCATTTGGTATGGACAGTCTTTTTATTTTTTATTTATTTATGTATTTTAATTTTTTTAATATTTATTTATTTGGTTGCGCTGGGTCTTAGTTGCGGCAGGTAGGGTTCTTAGTTGTGGCTCACGGGCTCCTTAGTTGAGGCTCGCCAGCTCCTTAGTTGTGACATGTGGGTTCCTTAGTTGAGGCAGGCAGGCTCCTTAGTTGTGGCTCGAGGGCTCCTTAGTTGCAGCTTGCTGGCTCTTTAGTTGCAGCACATGGGCTCCGTAGTTGCAGCATTCATGTGGGATCTAGTTCCCTAACCAGGAATCAAACCCGGGCCCCCTGCGTTGGGAGCATGGAGCCTTAACCACTGTGCCACCAGGGAAGTCCCCTGGACAGTCTTTTTAGCCATTTTAGTGACTATGTAGCAGTATTTCATTGTGGTTTCAATTTGCATTTCCCTAATAACTAATGATGTTGAGCATCCATGGTGCTTCTTTGCTGTCTGTATATTTTCTTTGGTGAAGTATCGGATCAGATCTTTTCCCCATATTTTAAATTGGATTGTTTATTTTCTTATTGCTGAATTTTACAGTTTTTTAAATATATTTTGGATATAAGTCATTTATCAGATATATGCTTTGGAAAGATTTTCTTCCAGTCTGTGGCTTATCTTTCATTCTCTTAACAGTGTCTTTTTTTTTTCTTTTTTTAAAAATTGAAGCATAGTTGATTTACGGTGTTTCAGGTGTACAGCAAAGTGATTCAGTTACACACACGCACACACACACATGTATATATACTTTTTCAGATTCTTTTCCATTATAGGTTATTTCAAGACATTGAATATAGTTCCCTGTGCTATACAATAGGTCCTTGTTGTTTATCTATTTTATATATAGTAGTGGGTATCTGTTAATCCCAAATTCCCAATTTATCTCTCCCCCACTTTCCTCTTTGATAACCATAAGTTAGTTTTCTAAGTCTGTGAGTCTATTTCTCTTTTGTGAATGAGTTCATTTGTATCACTTTTTTAGATTCCACATATAAGTGATATCACATTATATTTGTCTTTCTCTGTCTGACTTCACTTAGTATGATAATCTCTAGGTCCATCCATGTTGCTGCAAATGGCATTACTTCATTGTTTTTTATGGCTGAGTAATATTCCAGTGTGTGTGTGTGTGTGTGTGTGTGTGTGTGTGTCTGTCACATCGTCTTTATCCATTCCTCTATCGATGGACATTTAAGTTGTTTCCATGTCTTGCCTATTGTAAATAGTGCTACTGTGAACATTGGGTGGCATATATCTTTTCAAATTAGTGTTTTCATCTTTTCTGGATATACGCCCAGGAGTGGGATCACTGGATCATATGGTAACTCTATTTGTAGTTTTTTAAGGAGCCTACATACTATTTTCCATAGTGGCTGCACCAATTTACATTCCCACCAACAGTGTAGGAGAGTTCCCTTTGCTCCACACCCTCTCCAGCATTTATTATTTGTAGATTTTTAAAAAATATTTATTTATTTGGTTGTGCTGGGTCTTAGTTGCAGCAGGTGGGATCCTTAGTTGTAGCTCACCAGCTCCTTAGTTGCAGCTTGCAGCCTCCTTAGTTGCAGCACTTGGGCTTTTTAGTTGCAGCAGGTGGGCTCCTTAGTTGTGGCATATGAACTCTTCGTTGCGGCATGCAAATGGGATCTAGTTCCCTGAGCAGAGATCGAACCTGGGCCCCCTGCATTGGGAGCGTGCAGTCTTAACCACGGTGCCACCAGGGAAGTCCCTATTTGTAGACTTTTTGAAGATGGCCATTCTGACTGGTGTAAGGTGGTAACAACATCTTCTGAAGAGCAAAAGATTTTAATTTTGGTGTGAAGGCCAATTTGTTAATTTTTTAAAAAAATTTTATGGACTCTGCTTTTCGTTTTCTATCCAAGAAATCTGTCTTAACTCAAGATCACAAAGATTTTATGCCACAAGTTTTATAATTTTAGGCTTTACATTTAGGTCTGTGATCCATTTTGAGTTAATTTTTGTATAATGTGTGAGGTATGGATCCAAGTTCATTTTTTAGCATTTGGATATCTAGTTGTTCCAGTACCATTTGTTGAAAAACTATCTTTTCTCTACTGCATTGCTTCTGAGCCTTTGTCAAAAATCAGTTGAATGTATATGTGTGGGTTTATTTTTGGATTTTCCACTCTGTTCCATTGATCTCTTTGTCTGTCTTTACACTAATACCATACTGTTTTGATTATTGACACTTTTTAATAATTTTTGAGATAAGGTAGTTTTAGCCCTCCAACTTTGTTCTTCTTTTTCATAGTTGTTTTGGCTATTCAAATTTCTTTGCATTTCCATATGAACTTTAGAATTGGCTGTTTACTTCTACAAAAAAGCATGCTAGGATTTTGACTAGGGTTGTTTTAAACGTATAGTTCAGTATGGGATCACTGACATCATAACAATATTGAGCCCTCTGACCCATAAGCCAGCTGTATTTTTGTCTTTGGTTTTGCTCAGCAATATTTGTATAGTTTTCATGTACACGTCTTTCACATGTCTTTTTAGATTTATTCTTAATTTTTTTTTTTTTTTTTTTTTCGGTACGCGGGCCTCTCACTGTTTTGGCCTCTCCTGTTGCGGAGCACAGGCTCCGGACGCGCAGGCTCAGCGGCCATGGCTCATGGGCCCAGCCGCTCCGCGGCATGTGGGATCTTCCCGGACCGGGGCATGAACCCCTGTCCCCTGCATCGGCAGGCGGACTCTCAACCACTGCGCCACCAGGGAAGCCCAATTCTTAATTTTTTATGCTCTCATAAGTGGTATTTTCTTTTTCAGTTTTAATTAATTCACTTTATTATTCTTGTGTGAAAACACAAGCCTTGTGCAACACAAGATGGTCAATGAATTGCTGATAGGGAGCCTTGGTGAGCACAGTCCCCTTCGAGAGGTCAGGTGTAAGATAGCTGTAGGTCTTAGAGGTGGCATCGAAGGTGGCCTTGGTAAAGTTGCCTAATGAGGCTGTGCAGCCGCTGACCAAGGTATAACAGTTTTCAGTGCCTGCTGTCAGCAGCAGCTTTGTGGCCACGAAGACCAAGACACTAGCAGTGGATCTGGGTGCAAGGATGAAGCATACCAGCAGAGAGCTGCAGTATCCTGTCACCTTCAAGGAACTGTATGGGGTTTGCCAATCTTGTGTTTCCAGGAGTCCCATTACCCATGACAGCGGAGTGGTTGGCCAGGAGGATGGCCCTGTGGATGGCAGTGGTTACCTCCTTGGAGCACTTAACACCCAGACCCATGTGACTATTACAGTCCCTCATGGCAACAAATACCTCGAACCTGAACTGCTGGCCAGCACCATTCTGCTTTCACTGCTTTCAAAGGCATAAGGGACTCCCCTAGGGAAAAGTAACCTCAGATCGAGAGGAAGAAGAGATAAATCTCCTTCAGGGACTTAATCTTCATGTCCTTGACCTCGGCAAACACTGATAAATTGCTGATTCCAAGAAAGAAAAAAGTTTTTGAAAGTATTTATGTAGAGTTTTTTCAGTTGTTGATTGTTGACTGCCAGTGACTACCCTCTTCAGCCTTCCAGCAGTCTGTCTCAAGCTGCAGGTCGCTGGTGTGATTTTCAGTAAACTGTCCCCTTTGGTATAACTCTGACAGGTACTGGAGGCACAGAGAAGGCATCAGAAGGAGAAATCTGGCATCATACCTACCTCGCCAACACCCTACACTTATAACAAGGTAGGAGAGGAGATACTAATCTTTACCCCTTGGGTGTAGCCCCTCTTCTCCTATGAGGTGTTTGTGGCCCTCTGGGAAGGTGGCAAATTCCATTCTTATCCCTTAATATTGCTGCCCAAGAGGCTGAAAGCAGCCACATATGCAGAAGTGTGGAATTCAAGTATTTGTCTGATGAAATAAGATTCATACCAGTTTAGGTTTTGCAGCAGGAACCAAAGGCTATGGTCACCTGGAGGTTATTTATTTGGCTAGCTGTACAGTCCACTGATCACATTTAAAGATATGTTTGTCTTGCTTTTTTGAGGTGGAGGCCATTTCAGAGAATATTATTTGTCCATTTATGGTGCCATTCTTTCTAACCCCATAAAATACCCAACTTAGAACAGTGTCTAGTACACATAGCAAGTGCTCCCAAGTGTTACCTGGTACTTCACAGTTCTTAATCAGTAGCCTACACATCAAGCTTCTCTGTTCTAAAGTATGAGAGGTTTAGGGCCTCCTGAAACAGGTCCTAGAGGTCCTGGAGGCACTGAGTAGATCAGAAAAAAATGATGCTGCTTGGGGACTCCAGGTGATATAGATGGTAGAGAGGGAGCTGAGGATGGTAGAAAGGCAGGCCAGCTCTTCCTGGTCCCACACCTTTAGAGGGCCCCACATATTCCTAATGCATGTGCGTGCACACATGCAGGCATACATATCGAAGAACACACAGGCTTCTGTGGCACTCAGGACCCTCCACTTGCATTGGCACTGGCACTGGCACAGCATGACCAGAACGCTAAACAACTACTTTCATGATTAACACTGTTCAGTCCCCAAGTAAGAACTGCTCCACATCATCTTGATCTACTTGCAAAACTGTAGGCAGCTGTGCCCTTATATAGTGAAGGTTGGAAGTGAGGGCTGTGCTGATTATAGTCAGTCAGAAACTGCTTCCTGCTTCCCAATGCAGACAGGAATTGAGTGGTAGAAGCACTTAGCTAACAGAGGTATTAACTTACTTGATACGGTCTTCTCATCATGAATACAGTGGATTCTTGTGTGATACATTATTTCCCAGTACTATTCTTTTCTCCTCTTCCTGTTCCATTTCGTGAATCTGGTGGTGTTTGTGAATTAGCACATGGCATTCATAAACTTACACTCCACAGATGAGTAGTACATTGCAATAAGTTCATATTACTTTTGAATGTGTATATATGTTGGTCTAGTTATAATCTTTATATTGGCAACTAAGTGAACACTGCTACATTCACAAATAATTTTTTAAATAAAAATAATGTAAAAAGATGTAGTTAAAATTTCAAAAGTTAAATAAATACATCAACGTTAATTAAAAAGAAAAAGAAAAAGAGGCAGTAGGCCAGGTGACTTGCTGTGACTCCACGACCATTCAGCTGTATGATGTTGGTTGGTGCACTTAGTTTCACTCTTGACAGATGACCTTAGAGATGACAAGATCTCTGTAGTATCAGTTTCCTCATGTGAACTATTTTTTAAGATTTCTCTCCACCTCTATAATTTTATAAGTATGTTCTACAGCATGGGTCATGTCATCTATAAATGTCTACTAGTATGATGCCAAGACATGGCTGAGAGTACCTGAGACACCTCATTTTCCAGGCTTCACTCAGAGCAGCACACAGCTGTGGTGTGAGGAGCGTGTGGCCACAGTGGCAGGTTCCCTGGGCTGCCTTTCTCAGGTGGACACTGCTTTTGTCCTGCAGTTCAGGAGGACAAGCCTCTGTGTTGAAGCCTCTGAGGACCCAGTTTCCGAGGCAGGTAGAGCTACGTTTAATTAAAATAGGAGTCCTTTATTAATAAGCATGCTGTGACTACAGGCCATGAAATCACCTTAATATCTACAGACATGGTAGTTGGTGGCAGTTTTGTTTCGTTCAGAATATCTTCCCCAAGAATGGTCTTGCAAATGGGCACAGTGAGTCCTTCATGGCCAAAGGATTGCTTTTAGCCTCCTGTTTTTCCCTGCAGTGCCTATCCCTAAGCTTTGTCAGACTGCTTTGGGCCTTTATAAAATGACTTGTGCTGTTTTATAGAGTCAGCCCACCTGTGTCCTAGCTGCTTTGTTCCTGCACCCTCAGCCCTGCCCAGGTGGACAGAGTAAATGTTTCACAACCAGCTGGCTTATATCTATCACTTTTCTGGCTGGGGACAAAGTATCCTACATCTGTACCCAATAATCAGGTAGCAGCTTGGGCCTAAGCAGTGAGAATAAGTGACTATTTTACCCCAGACTGGCCTTGTATATATGGTGTGCACATGTGTAGTGTTGGTAGCACGTAACAAATAAGGAGAGAATGGTTAATTCTCTTAAGACTTCCTGAAGCTTTTACAGTCTCTCTGAAGTGATTCTCAGAGATATCAGCCTGTGTATATCAGGGGCTGTTTCTGGGTCAGTCCTAGGGACTTTATTTTAGAGCTGTGCCTCTGCTGTGAGTGACCATGTTCTTTTTGCTTTCAGAGCTGTGACTTGTGGTCCCTAGGGGTGATTATCTACGTGATGTTGTGCGGATACCCTCCTTTTTACTCCAGACACCACAGCCGGACTATCCCAAAGGATATGCGGAGAAAGATCATGACAGGCAGTTTTGAGTTCCCAGAGGAAGAGTGGAGCCAGATCTCAGAGATGGCCAAAGATGTTGTGAGGAAGTGAGTCCTCAGGCCACTGCGGGGGGAGGCCTTAAAAGTGGTGGAACACAAAGGAATGTTGGGTAAAGGAAAGTCATTTGTTTCCCAGGCATGCTCCTTCTCATTTTAGCATCACAGAAAATTTTCCCTGGAGCCTGAGATGAGAGTTCTCAGTGTCCACACCTTGGTGAAATTGGAGCTTTGCTCCCTCCTGTTGCACTCCTAGAATTTGTCCTTAGGGTTGAATCCAGGTCCCTTGGTAGCCATTTTATCTGTGAGCATTAATTTAGGACCTTAAATGGTAACCCCCCTGGTGTACCCTTCCTGCACGGAGGCCGGTCATTTGGGACAGACATGATTCCAGGAACTGAACTGGGGTGCTAAAATGACCATGATGCTTTTGGCTTTTCATTCCTTAGCTGCTGTGGGAGTGTGTGATTGGTTGTGCAGGGCCTGGACCCCACCTCCTGCCCTTCCTACTGCTAGTTGGTTGCTCTGGTGTATATTAAGATGGAAAGATTTAGAAGAATTAGGGGTAGTGAATGGATGACGGAGACTTGACATTCAGAGTCCTTTGGAGAAATTAGCTAGAGCACTAAGAAAGAAGTCAGAACTAAATATGAGGTGTCTTTGCTTTTTCTACCCACCTGTGTCAGAGGCTTAGCTGACTGGAACCTGGACGCTGTTCTGGTATCCTACTGCTTGTTCTTCACTGAGTAACTTTTCCTCTTTTGGTTTCAGTTTCTTCATCTGTAATGCGATAAAGATAAGCATTAAAAGGGCAGTACCTGGGAACTGTCTCCTAACAGTACAGCTGTTTCTGTATGGAGATTACTCTCTTTCAGAAGTGAGCTTGTTCTGTTGGTTAGGTGTTTATGTATTCAAAAAGGGACTAGTTTCTAAAATATACAGGTGAAAGTTTTTTAGGAGGGTGGAGGCAATGTTTAAATCATCATTTGTCTTCCTATGCTCTTTCCCTGCTGTATTCTCAGTTACTTAACCAAAATATCAGTATCCTCTAATTGGTTCTTTGCAGTTCTGTAGAATATATTTCCTCTCCCTAGAGCAACATTGATTATCTTCTTTCAGCATTGAGATTCTTTTCTAAATAATCCTTTCTTTAGAATCTGAAGCTGTTTGTTCACAATGATCCAAAAGGTTACAGAGAACATGAAAGAGCAAGTAGGCATGTTGTCCTGACTCTGATGTTTGGAATGGGAGGCTATGTATTTGGAAGAAGGTGCTGTAAGAGGCCCAGGGAATATGCTGGGGTGAGCTAGGAATTGCATTAGGATAAATGTACAAGATATAAAGAACTATGGTCAAAAAGCCGATGGTACAGAACAATACATTAGGCTTAGAAGGAAATGCCATCCCCTTCTCAGAGATTAGATTTTTAGCTTTTTGTTGTTGTTTTGTGTGTTTTTTTGTGTGTTTTTTTTTTTGCGGTACGCAGGCCTCTCACTGTTGTGGCCTCTCCCGTTGCGGAGCAGTAGGCTCCGGACGTGCAGGCTCAGCGGCCATGGCTCACAGGTGCAGCCGCTCCGCAGCATGTGGGATCCTCCTGGACCGGGGCACGAACCCGTGTCCCCTGCATCGGCAGGCGGACTCTCAACCACTGCGCCACCAGGGAAGCCCTAGATTTTTAGCTTTTGAATGTCTTTGGAATAAAGGGTTCATGTCCTGCCAAATGGTGACAAGAGTTTTATCACAAGTAGCAACCTGGATTTTCAGAACCGTATGACCCCTCGACTAATTCTAAAGTCACTGTTAGCCAAAAGAGCACTTTGAGTCCCTTTTGGAAATTATAGCCCACTGTCCTAGAAACATTAGTCTGGGGATTCAGTGTCTCAGGAACTGTAAGCCATATGTAAGATTACTTTACTGAACCTAGAACTCAGTCTGAGGTATCACTGGACTAAGCCTTTTCCTACCATTCTTATCTCAATTTATTTAGTATAGAAAGAACTGCCTAAGGACAGAGTGCCCTCACAACTAACGGTTAGGGACGAGAGCCCCACCTCTGTCCTGCAAATAGAAAGCCTAGGCTTGTAAGAGTTGGTGGAAAGTCAGAAGCTGGAGCTGGTTAGAGCCAGACCCAGGAACTTCCCGGCCTCTGGAAGCAACTGCATGGCAGCCCTGTTGGCCTTTTCTCCACAGGCTCTTGAAGGTCAAACCAGAGGAAAGACTTACCATCGAGGGAGTGTTGGATCACCCCTGGCTCAACTCAACTGAGGCCCTGGATAATGTGCTACCCTCTGCTCAACTGATGATGGATAAGGTTTTGAATGATGCTTATTTTGTCGGCCGAAAAGGCTGTGTTGGGAAGGAATGCTGAGGCTTGACTCAATGAGGGGTTAAAGGCAAAACAATGCAGAGCACACAGTCTTTCCCAGAGAAATATCTCTGGTCTTCCAAAGATCAGGATTGGAAATAAAGAGATTATTTCCGTAAAAGACCAGATCAAGGCCTGGTAAATACACTAAGGGAACACTCAAAGGACTATCCTTCATATTTGTGCTATGGGGTTGGGGGCCCAGAGCAGTATCAGACACCGTTCTTTTGCCCAAGGAGTTTAAACAAGACTGGTTGGAAAGACCAATAAACACAAAACAAAGAGGGAACATTTTCAGACATCAGAGCTTTTGCATGCTAAATTTTCTGTGAATGCTGTGGAAATTCAGAAAAAGAGAACATCTTTGAAGGGCTGTAATTAGGGAAGGGTTCCCAAAGAGAAGGCAAAAACCATCACAATTATTAACTATTGTGTGGCATTTTTTAACCCCTTTACATGTTTAACCCCTTTACATGTAATGAAGCCTGACTTCATTGATGGGAAGTTGGTAAAATGGGTGTGGCAGACCTGGCTTTGAAAGTAGACAGAGGGGTTTAAGTCTTAGTAGGACATAATTGAGAGGCTATTGTAGATTTTTGAGAAGAGATTTGCCACAGGGAAGGTGTTTAGGGATGGTTAGTCAGACTTGCAGACTTTCCAACCTAATACTTTTACAATAATCTAGAAGCTGAGAAGCTGCTCTAGGAGCAGAGAAGTAGAGATGAATGAATAGGCTCAATATTTTTGAAGACAGATTTCTACAATTTTTGGTGACTGACTAGATATAAGGGGACAGTGGGTGGCATATCTGGTGACACCATTGACAGAGGGAAATCAGGAATGAGGCTGGTTTTGGGTGAAGGGAAGTCTCTTAGGTTTTAGATATTGTTTAAGGTGGTAGATGGATGTGTGGTGTGGAATCAGAATGTGGCTGAGAGGGAAAGGCAGTGACACAGACTTGAGTGTTACTGACTTAGAAGGGATGGAGTTGAAATGTAAGCGAATAGGAAAAAAGAATGCTAAGACCTCCCTTAGTTTAGCTGGAGTATGAGAGAGAAAGGAGAGCTAGAAGGAACAGAGTTTTCTGCTATCTCTGATTTGTATGCAGTTGTCTTCCTGGTTTAAATGTGCCCAGTAGTCCAGAAATGGTTTGTTTGGTCAGTCCAAAATACAAAAGGATTACTTATACCCTCTGGTTGTCAGCAATTGAGTGCTACATTGTGGCTTTCCTCAAGATCTTGAAATGGAGAAATAAGATTGCCTTCTGGAGTTACTTTAAGATTAGTGTATAATGAAGCCAAGTATGGATATGCATAATCTTCTTAATGAGGAGGAGTAGCTCCTGGGCCTGTAAGATGGAACTGCAATGTGACAGTGTATTCCCATTTTTAAAGAAATGATGTGGTCAAGATGCAGGCTGGTCAGCTTTGGAAGTGTAGAAAAAATGTCCACATATGCAGAAGCTGAATAGTGTCCATCTAAGCTGTGCCTAAGAGATGGAGCCTGAGCTCACAACCTTGAGGTGTTCCCATCTTTTTGGTCGGGCTATCACGGATAAGGAAATAGATTCAAGGGTCTGGGGGCGTGTAGCCAGGGCCAGTTAGTATAGCTCTCTTAAATGAGTTCAAACTCTTCCTGATCTAATTGCATGCTTACCAAGGAACTATTTTTGTAAATTGTCAAATTTTGTTGTTGAAATTCAAACAACATGGAGGTATATAAAATAAAAAGCAAAAGTTCCCTTTCATTACCTTGCCTCAGTCTCACCCCTCAGAGGTGAGGTGACCTATGGCTTGATGTATTCTTCCTGATCTTTTTCTGGGGAGACACACACACACTCACAGAGTTTGTCTTTTTTTTTTTAAATACAGAAGTGGGATCGTCTCATTCTTACAAAGCCTTTTCTGATTATTTGCCTTCCCTTATTGGTCTGCCCGTAGTGAGAGAACGCACTGGTCATAAAGACAGACTTGAAGAGTGCTAGACCTTATGACAGTTATTTCTCATTGTAAATTAATTGACTGGCTTATAGATCAGTTTGTGAGGGTCTACTATGCTCACCAGGTGAAATGCTTGGGGTTCTGAGCCATCAGGGCTAAGGTGACTGTCTACACCATGGGGGCAGTGAGTAAATGCCAGTCAGGGAGGCTTCTCAGGTGGCAGCCTGCTAGCTTTTCCCCTGATGTACATGTATGACTCTCTTTACACTTGCCCTTGCCAGTGACTATGAGTATGAGCCTTGTTAGTATTTCTTACTTGCATTTCTGTCAGCCCACAGGAAAGAAGGGCTAGCTGTTGGCCTGGTCTTCCCTGGGCCCTGCTGATCCATGGGGAAGAGTCCTCTGCCTTATCAAAATTTGTATACTGCCAGCATAAGAATGAAATTGCCACCTTAGTTCTTTGTGATTCTCCTTCCCACTGTCTTAGATTGGCTTTTTAGGTGCCCAGAATGTGGAAAACTGATGACAGTGTTTGCATTCAGGCGGTGGTTGCAGGAATCCAACAGGCCCATGCAGAACAGTTGGCCAACATGCGAATCCAGGACCTGAAAGTCAGCCTCAAACCCCTGCACTCTGTGAACAACCCCATTCTAAGGAAGAGGAAATTACTCGGGTAACTGAGCTTATTTCTTCAGTTCTCCCTCATGGCTGGTGTGGTTGAGTACAGGGTTCTGTAAAGGTCAGCCAGGGGTCTGCCCTTTTTTGTCTCTTAAGAGGGTGGAAAGGATATGTTCTTTAAATAGCATCAGAAGTTGGAGATACTCTATAGTTAATTATTTATCTGAAAAATCTGTTCCTTATGTTTAGCATTAACATCTGTTAAGAGTTGGGTTTTGGGGTCTCACCTTGTTATTACCTCTCTCCCAAACTTCTAAAGCACCAAGCCAAAGGATGGTGTTTATATCCACGACCGTGAGAATGGAGCCGAGGATTCAAATGTTGCCTTGGAAAAGCTCCGAGATGTGATTGCTCAGTGTATTCTCCCCCAGGCTGGTAAAGGTCACACCATTTATGAATGCTCTGTGCGTGTCTGTGTGTGTGCACATGCACATGACTAAAGGAGTGGTTTAATTTGAAGTTGTCTGTTTCATCTTTGTGTTATAAGAAAATAAGTACATTATATAGTTTGTGCCCACTGAAAAGAATGGACGGTGGGAACTCAGAAAAGTGAGGCTCTGGCCCACCTTTGGTTTCCTGTAAAATTTCTAGTTTCGGTTTAATTGCCAGCGTCAGACACAGCACGTAATTTTGTATTTTCCTAGTTTGTTAATGAGATTACAGGATAGAGGATGGAAAATGGAAAATGTGAACAGGGTCAGGATTAGGTTGGGAAGGTCAGGAGGGTTGGGAAACACCATATCCAGAGCCCTTAGAGTACAAGGCTGTCATTAACTTGTGAATGTAAAGAGACGATCTCTCAAGTTCAGAAGCGGCCCTGGCTGCTACTTGTATCATGGGCAGGGTGGGACTTAAACAGAAGTCCTTTCGAGTGAGAGCTGTCTTTCCAGTATGTTCTCTTTCCACCTAATGGGGTATGATGGGCTTTTCTCAGCAGATGAATGAGATGCTTCAAGTAGTAGGCCAGGAAACTGTTGAGTTGACCAGTCTTCCTAGATTCCTTGGCTTTTAAGGGAACTTACTAGTGTGCCTCAGGTAGCCTTCCAAAGTAAGAAATGAGCTTAGGAGAAAGAAGGTAGCCCACTCAGCCTTATTCTCCCTCCGGCTCATGGTCTCTTAAGTTAACCAGGTGCTTTTGCTCAGCAATAGTCCGACATCCTATGGGATGCCTATTTCCCATCCCCCAGTGCTAAGACTCTGGGGGCATCAGGGAATTTGTGTGAGGTGGTCAGAGCAGGAAGAGTTGAGAAACCAGAAGCGGTCTACATCAGTGGTCCCCAACCTTTTTGGCACCAGGGACTGGTTTTGTGGAAGACAATTTTTCCATGGACTGGGGGCGGGGGGTGGGGGGATGGTTTCAGGATGATTCAAGTGCATTATGTTTATTGTGTGCTTTATTTCTATTATTATTACATTGTAATATATAATGAAATAATTATACAACTCACCATAATGCTGACAGGAGGCAGAGCTCAGGTGGTAATGTGAGCGATGGGGAGTGGCTGTAAATACAGATGAAGCTTCCCTCGCTTGCCCACCACTCACCTCCTGCTGTGCGGCCCGGTGGTTGGGACCCCTGGTCTACATGTAATGTAGGGACTAGAAGTAATGATAGTCTGGTAAAGCTTGCACCTTTAATCATCACTTCTCAATAAGTTGGACCTCATGTCCTTCCATCTCTGACACTAAAATCCCATGATGCTGCAGGAAAATGCAACTTCTTCTTCATCTTTATCAATAGGAGAGAATGAAGATGAAAAGCTGAATGAAGTAGTTCAGGAAGCTTGGAAGTATAACCGGGAATGCAAACTCCTAAGAGATACTCTGCAAAGCTTCAGCTGGAATGGTAGGAGCCTTAATTATGCCTTTCCCCAGGAATGCAGAGAAGTAATTGTGTTTAGAATATGTAGGATCTCTGGGGGCTGAGCTGGGACTGTTTTCAGGTAAAGTAGGGCTGGCGAGTGAGTGGAATACTGTGGGACAGGGGGTTAGCCCTACAGTAACTGCCCAGGCATATCTGGACATCTGGCCCTTTCGCTTGTTTTCCAGAGTTCAGATGAATTATGTGTCGCAGATTCATTGCTGCAGAGCCCCCGTCACATACCACTTGGGCAAAAAAACAGTCAGATCTCAGAACTCCTTCCAGATACCTGAACTGTTCACTGGGTATTAAGGAGCAGTATACTCTGAAGGGGAGAAAGAGGGCAAAGTACCACAGAGTCCGCCCTGCTGATCTGCTTAGCTTAGAGAAAACCTGTTTCACTGAAGAGTAGAGAGTGCCAAATCTGCTGCTCTTTGAATTTTTTTCCCCACAGGCAAACAAGGTACAGGTGTGTTTTTTGAGCTGCTTTTGTATTGTCTTTCTACTTTAGCAGACTAAACTAGACTTAAGGTCTAGGATGCTCAGGGAAGGAAGCAAACTCATTGCCTAGCTTGATTCTTGGACATGAGAAATCCAAAGTGCTAGCCTGGCCATTCCCATACTTGGAGGAGATTAGCTTCCCTAGGATTTTTTTTATTTTTTAAGATTTTGAAATATCAATACAGAAAAGTGATCACATTTGAGGTATGCACGTCCGATGAATTTTCACAAAGTGAACACTCCCATGTAACAAGCACCTAGAACATGTAGTGGAGCATGTGCCCTCTTTTAACTGCTACCTCCCTCCTCACAAGGGTAATTATGATCCCAGTTTCTAGCAGTATATATTAGTTTTGCCTGGTTTTATATTTTATGTAAGTGGAGTCAGAGAAGTCTATGTTCTTTTGTGTCTGGCTTCTTTTAGTCAAGATTATATTTGTGAGATTCAACCATATTGTTGTGTGTAGCAGCAATTCATTCTCATATATATGTATGTAAATATATATATATTCTCTCTGTATATATTTTTCTCCATATATATACACATATATGTTTTTTGTATTTATATTTATCCATTCTGCTGTTGAACGGACATATGGGTTGTTTCCAGGTTTTGGTAATTAAGGAAAGCACTGCTATAAACACTCTTGTGTACATCTTTTATGAATATTTTAATGAACTCATTTCTCTTATGTATCTAGGATTGGAGTTGCTGGTTCATGGGGATATTCATCTGTTTAGCTTCAGTAGGTACTGCCACCAGTTTTCCAAAGTGGTTGTACCAATTTACACTTCGACTAGCAGTGTTTGAGGGTTCTAGTTATTCTATATCCACACCAACCCTTGCTATTGTCTTTTTCATTTTAGTCATTCTGATTAATAAGTACTACTGGTATTGCGTGTCATTTTACTTTGCCTTTCCCTGATGACTATGAGCTTAAGCACGTTTTAATGTTTATTGGCCATTTAGATTTTGTTAAGTCCCTATTCTTTTGCCCATTTTTCTATTGAGTTGTATCTCTCTTATAGATGTGTAGGAGTTCTTTATATAGTCCGGATATGAGTTCTGTTGTCGACATACATATCACAAAGAACTTCTCCCTCTTTGTGGTTTCTTGCTGTGCTGTTGTACTGAACATGGGATTTTTACAGCCAGGTTAATAAGCTGCTCAGTTCTACTTGAAAAATGGGGGAGTTGAACTGCTTTTGATCAGTGTTGGTGATGGTTCCTCCATGGTGAGGGTGAATTTGACACTGGTGAGATGTACCTTATTGGGTCCCTGTCAAGAATCTTATCACCTCCCAAACAGTTTGGAGACTGACCTTTTTCTTTTTTGGGTTTCAGGTCGTGGATTCACAGATAAAGTAGATCGACTAAAACTGGCAGAAATTGTGAAGCAAGTGATAGAAGAGCAAACCACATCCCACGAATCCCAATAATGACAGCTTCAGACTTTGTTTTTTAACAAGTTGAAAATTTATTCATTAATGTATAATTTGTATGTAAATTAATAAATCATAATTTCATTTCCACATTGCTTAAAGATGCTGTATAAATTTAGATACAGGATTTACTAATAGTATAGTTCATTTGTTTTTAAGAAAAGCTCAGTTCCTAATATATTATTACTTTAGGATTGTTTAGTCATATGTGGTAAAGCTGACAGATGGTATTGTCAAGCAAGATTGTTTTATTTGTAATAAAGTATACAAAAACCATTTGCCAGTGGTAGGCAAAGGACCAACTATACTGACCTTAGTAAACAGTTGAATCAAGTACTGTGGAATCTGGTTTCAATTGCCCTGTGTATTTTACTTTCTGCACTATCAGTGGATTAGCTCTGGTGCCAAGAAATTTTTGTGGATCCATGTTGCAGACTGCTTGCCTGTTACAGGGTGCCACCTCCCATGATGGAAGAGGCAGGGAGTTGAGCCCTCATTTTTCTTATCCCTAATTCCCTAGAGAAGAGTGGTAATATTCCTTTTTTGTCATATTTTTTTAAAAGGTATTGGTGTACTTCTTAAATCTAATGGGATTCTCTATTGAGTTTATTCTTTTCATGTTTAACCAGAGCTTCAGCCCTCCCCCACCTCCTTTGAGATCCTACTTTGTCCTCTCCCTTTCCTGCAGCCCTCACCAGCTCCATTGCTTCTTATCTCCTTTCCCTGTTCTTCTGGCCCCTTTTATGGGATGATTTTTCTGAGAAAGTTCCATATCATAAAAACTGGACTATTGGGTTAGCATCTAAAGATGGTCCAAGTTTTTTCTCTTAAAGCTACCCTTTTTCTCTAACGTTTCTGCCTGGGTTTCATGGTGGCATCCCCTGGGATGCATGTATTTTATTTATCACCCTTCATTTTCAGGAAGCATGGTTCTGGCCCAGAGATCAGATACTTGAATAGAAAACAAGGCTGGGTGCTTTTCTACTTTGTTGTTGTACATATGGGCATCCATAACACACCATTTTTATTTATTTTTTTAGCAGTTCTTGATTGGTGGTTCTGTGTTGGTAAATGGGAGAGCTAATAGGCCAACTCCAATTCACAGAGGAGAAGAAAAGGATCAGTAGGCTCAGTTATTCAGTTTCATCCCATCAAATTCTCTTCAATCAAAATCAACCCCACAGAGCTCACTTATTTTCTAACTCTTCCACTTTGCTGAGTATGTCTTCAGGGTGACATTTGCTTAGTATGTCCCATATGTGTGTGAATGACTGTAGGAATATATGATAAAAACATTAAGTATCTCTTAGAAATTACCTTACACATTGGTTCCCTTTTACTTTGGAGAGTTTTAAATTCAAGGCATTTTTTGAGGTAAGGCTCACTAATCCTCGGTGATTGATAACTGCTACAAATAGATACCCTATAAGGAGAATTCAATACTTTTTTTTTTTTTTTTTTTTGCGGTACACGGGCCTCTCACTGTTGTGGCCTCTCCCGTTGCGGAGCACAGGCTCCGGACATGCAGGCTCAGAGGCCATGGCTCACGGGCCCAGCCGCTCCGCGGCATGTGGGATCTTCCCGGACCGGGGCACGAACCCGCGTCCCCTGCACTGGCAGGCGGACTCTCAACCACTGCACCACCAGGGAAGCCCGAGAATTCAGTACTTTTAAACATGGCAGAATCTAACAGGCAGCAGAGAAAACATGTTTTCTTATTTACTAACCAGAAAACTTAGCTGAGAGTTGAATTAAGGGTTGAATTATTCTGTTTTTTCAGTGAAATGCAGTCTTACAAATCAAAATCACTTCTTACAATCAGGAAAAACTCTGCAGTTGTTTCTGGAACAACTGAATACCTGTTATTTTTCTTATCTTAGGGTAGAGGTTCAGTGTTCGCTTGGGAGAGAAAGGTAGTAATTAACTTTGTTACTCTTCTTTTTCTTCAGAGGAATCTTCTAGCATGCCCAGTCTACCATTAACTTCTCAAATTTGTTATCTGGGTGTCTTCTAGAGGCTCAAGATGATTTCCTTCCCTGTGTGGTGAATTTTAGGCATGATCTAAAAGGGTATCCAAAAGATTCTTCCTTTTACTCTGAGCAGCAGTTGCCCGTGTTTCTTTAGTCTGAATTAAACTGGCCGTGAAAATGAGTGCTGTATCCAGACAGGTCCATGCTGAAAGTTTGTGAATACCCTGGAGGATGCTCTAGCTGTTGTAACTCAGAAGTGGGTCCTATCCTACAGAGAGCTCCTTGACAAAACAACAACTTCCAAAAGACTCAGCAATGTTTGGTCTTTAAAGTGGAGTTCTGTTTATGGAATTCGTTTGTAGGCCAGTAGCAAATTCTGCTTTAACTTTACCAGTCAGGTTTACTAATAAAACATTCACATGTACTGGAAGTGAAACAAAATCATCCTTGTCTCTTTTGGCCTGTCTGTCTAATGCCTGTACCTGCAGGAAGTTCACACTGTAAGAACAGTTCTCATAGGCAGGAGGTTAGAGTCTTCAGTTTTCCTACATGATTTGCTAACCCTCTGCTTACTATAAAACCATTACTCAAATACCTTTAGACTTTACCATAGTTATTAATCTGCTTGATGCGAAACAACTTTTGTATTTTTCTGGCTAATGTATTGTATAAGCTATAGGAGAACACCTGTGAGAAATTTATTGTCTGAAACATATGATAGGAGGAACTGCTTTTTAAAAAGAGTTTTGTTTTTGTATTCATTTGAGATAGAACAAGTTGAAGGAATTATTGGTTGAAGAAGTCATGATTTAAATCAGATCTTGTGTGTGAATGCTTGCGTGCGTGTGTATTTATTGAAGAAAATGTGTCTCAATTTGAGAACTGGAAAATTGGATATTTGATTTTAATTATATTTTTATTTATTTAAAAAAGTAGAAGTGGTCTTTCATTATTGATTTTTTTGTCCCACAGAATGACTTAAATTTTCCCTGCCTGTTTGGTTAAGACACAGGGGAACAACTTAAATCTGTGATAATTTCCAAGTTACATAATTTTAAGAGGCTTTCCTCTTATACAGAACACAAGGAGAAAAGAAATTCAGCTGGAAATCATTTCACCATTTTTGCTGTAAATTTTTTAATGTGTTTGTGATATGATAGTATTAATTTCCTTGCTAGATGTGGATGATTAATTTTTTCATCTATATTAGGAATTAAATATTATTAACTGGGGATAATGAGTTGATCTACTCTCATGCTTATATCTGAGATCTTGTAGTACTATTCCATTCTCTTTTGAATTATATAAGGCATTTCTCCATTTTTGTGTGGTACTTATAGCCATAACCCTTATTTTGAAGGTTTTATATTGTAGATATTTGACTTAATATAAAATTATTTTTATGCAAGATAAAAGATGTAGAGTCTTTAGTTCATCTTATGATGCAAAGGAGAATAACTGGGCAAGGAATGTGGTTAAATAGGGCTTTTTTCCTTTTAAATTTATACTGCTAAATACACCAGGAGATCAACATCAAAATCAAATCCAAGGACTTCCATAGACATTACAGTTCAATTTTAGTTACGAAAGCAAAGAAGTCTTTAAAAAGCTCTTATACAGTCCATTTTTATTTTCTTGATGAAATGGTAACTAGATACCTGGTTAATCAGAGTTTAGTTTTATTCCAGACTTTGTTTTTATGTTGGGAGGAACTGAACTTTGATCTTAGTCACTTGTGAGTCTCCGTAGTGAAACTGAACTCCTTTCATTTAACACTTAGTACGTTTGTGCATTAGGAAAACTTATTAGAGGAAAATTATGTATATATGCAGACACAAAGTGGCTAAACTCATCTGTTATGAACAAAAGTTAATGAGGGAGAATTTGTGCATCCACATACAAGTTTTCTTGAATTAAAGGAGAAAAACCAGACCCTGACAAAGGAGGGCTGGACTGAAAAACAGTACCCTCAATACTACAGAAATGAGGAAAAGAGGTAATGGGCAACAGAGAGCTTCGTCCTGCTCTGAGATCCCGAAGAATCCCCATCCCCTCCCCCCTGACCTCCTGCCAGAATGTTGGGTTTCAAAGAATGCGCAGATTAACGGATATCAGGAGTAGTGTGGCCCTGGGCTAAGGATAAGGATAATTTACCTGAGTAACAGTCCTGGCTGAATCATTACAGGCCTTCTACTTGGTATATCTCTGTGTAAGCGTAAAGGGAACTTAGCCAAGGAGCATTAAAACCATTGCTGTTGGAAGGAAGTCATATAGTAAGGAAACCACTGAAGGCCGAGAGAAAAGCAAGAACAGAAACACAGCCCCAAGGTCTGTAAGACTCAGAGTTGGGCAGTACCCACCCATAAGGGAGCCAGCATAGATCTGAAGTGAATACCTGTGACGGAGGGTCTGCGTGTCAGGGAAAGCTGCTGCTGCTGGACATAGGCCCTGCATCATCAACTGATTTAACATGGCAGCGTCTGTGACACACTCTGCCTCTATACTGCCTTCTCTACGGAAAAACCAAGTGGCCTTGAAGGAGGGTAAGATAAAGTTTCAGACTTGGGCTCAGCAGAAGAGGGATCTGAGGCTGGGGCCAGTGCCAGGATCTTCATGTTTCAGTTTGAGGATTGTGTTGCTGTTGGTGATTTCTCTGCCAAGCTTGTACTGTGACCTGGGATCAGTATATTACTCTTCCTATGAAACAGTCACCCCCAAGAGTCTGACAGTGGAAGGAAGGGAAGACCAAGTGGAAAAGCTCTCCTATGTGCTATTTATGCAGGGCCAGAAACAGCTGATTCACCTGAAGGTGAAGAGAGACTATTTTGTGAATAACTTTCCAGTCTTCAGCTACCACAATGGCATCCTGGGGCAAGAAATGCCTTTCATCTCACATGACTGTCATTACGAAGGCTACATAGAAGGAGTCCCAGGTTCTTTTGTTTCTGTCAACACCTGTTCAGGCCTCAGAGGCGTCCTGATTAAGGAGGCAAAATCCTATGGCATTGAGCCCATTCACTCTTCAAAACGGTTTGAACATGTGTTGTACACCATGGCCCATGAAGCTCTAGTCTCCTGTAGTGTCACTTCCAATGACAGCCAAGTGGCATTCACCAGCCAGCAACAAGAGAGCAGCAAGCCTCGCAGTCAGCAGGTGCCATCCTACTTGTGGTCACATACCAAATACGTGGAGATGTTTGTCGTGGTCGACAACCAGCGGTTCCAAATGTGGGGCAGTGACGTCAATGAGACAGTCCAGAGAGTAATGGACATCATTGCTCTGGCCAACAGCTTCACTAGGGGAATAAACACAGAGGTGGTGCTGGCTGGAATGGAGATTTGGACCGAGGGGGACCTCATACAGGTCCCAGTGGACCTGCAAGTTGCACTCAGGAATTTCAATAGCTGGAGACAAGAGAGGCTCTTCCATCGTGTGAAGCATGATGTTGCCCACATGATCGTTGGACACCATCCTAAAGAGGATACAGGGCAGGCATTTCTCAGTGGTGCCTGTTCAAGTGATTTTGCAGCAGCTGTTGAATCCTTCCACCATGAGGATGTCCTCCTGTTTGCAGCACTCATGGTCCATGAGCTTGGGCACAACTTGGGTATTCCGCATGACCATTCGGCCTGCGTTTGTAAAGATAAACCCTTTGGCCTCATGCGTGAAAATATCACTAAAGAAAGTGGCTTCAGCAACTGCAGCTCTGACTTCTTCTACCAGTTCCTCTGGGAACACAAAGGGGCCTGTCTATTTAACAAGCCTGGGCCCAAAGGCCGCGTACGGAGGGATTCCCGCTGTGGAAATGGTGTTGTAGAAGAGGACGAGCAGTGTGACTGTGGTTCTGACTGTGACAATCACCCATGCTGTGACCAAACATGTAGGCTGAAGGAGAATGCAGAGTGTGGTGATGGACTCTGCTGCGTTAAATGCCAACCGAAATATAAGGGATTCATGTGCCGTCCTGCTTTGGGGGAGTGTGACCTCCCAGAGTATTGTGATGGTTCCTCTGGAGAATGCCCCATAGACAGCTATAAGATAGATGGTACAACGTGTGATAGAATTCACTATTGCGCTGGAGGTCGCTGTAAGAACCCTGATAATCAGTGCATGGATATATATGGGTTCTCTGCAAGGTCTGCCCCAGAAAACTGTTACATTTCAATGAACAGAAGAGGGGACCGGTTTGGAAACTGTGGTATTACCAACTCACCTAGGTTAAGATATTTGAAGTGTGTAGATGATAATATATTTTGTGGGAAACTTATATGTACAAATGTTAGACAGGTACCACAAATCAAACCAAATCATACACTGATCCAGGTCGCTCATGAAGATGACTGGTGCTGGAGCATGGATGCCTATAACACTACTGATATCCCTGATGATGGAGATGTACACACTGGCACTCTTTGTGCTCCAAACAAAGTCTGTGTAAATTACTCTTGTACTGATTATGCTGTGCTCAAGTATGACTGCAAACCAGCAGAAATGTGTAATGGTAAAGGAGTTTGCAACAATTTTAGGCACTGCCATTGTGAGGCTGGCTATGCTCCCCCTGACTGCAGAGGTCCAGGAGATGGTGGTAGTGTAGACAGTGGTCCACCTGGCAAACCAACTGAAATTCAAAGTGTAGGTGTAGGTGGCGGTTCTTTTCATCATAGCATTGAGTTTAGAAATGTTGGCAAGCTAATTTTCATACTCCCTTCATTTCTTTTAATATTGTTGTTAGTTTTAATATTTTACATTACCCTCAGGGCTGTAAATGAGTCAGTAGAGACCCTAGGGCATACCTTGGAGGAAAGTTCAGAGGAAACCACTAGTGAGGGATTCTTAACGGAGTTTCTACCAGTGGGGCTACAAGAGGAGGAGTCAGAAAACAAGGACCAAGAAGAGGAGGCCCCCTTGCCGCCGCTGGAGGCTCCCCCGCCGCTGGAGGCAATGCTGCTGCCGCCGGAGGCCCCACCACCAGGAGAGCCAGCACCATAAGAGGTAGCAGGTGAAGGAAAAGGATAACCAAAGGCAGAAGTGTATTGGAAGAATCCAAAAATATCGAATATCTCAAGCACTGAGTGGGAAAGAGGGGCTCAGAGAAGCAAAGGTGAAGTGACAACTGATGGTTCCTGTAGCTCTGAACAGGATATATAGTCTACAGAAACATACTAACATGGGAACAGAGACGCCCCTGCTTTCAGTATTCATTTTAGTAATTTGGTTATATGTTCATATATGAACTCATAAAATATTCTATATTTTTGCTTTTTTCCCATTTCATGAAACAATTTTATTTAAGCTCTTCTCATGAATCATACCTATCAATATCATCTTTCATTTGGGCCAATTTCTGATCTGAAATTACTTTTCAGGGCCTACCATCTTCCATCTACATTGTTTGATACACAGTATTATCTCTACCTATGACTATCACAGGGTCATTAATCCCACTCATAACACATTATCTTAAAAATGTTATCTGTTGAGTAATCTAATTTGCCCCAAAAGTTGCTATTCACGAATAAAAGGTAATTTAAAATAAATAAAAAGCTATTTTAAGATGAAGCATCGCTTCAGACTCCATACAGCCTAGTCCTTGAGGCTTCTTTATTTTGGGGATCTCTTGGAAGGGGCTACATCTGATCCAGGGTTGTCCGATCACCCTGGGTCTGGGTGCATGGGGGAAAGGGAGCAACTTAGGCAAGAGACAACCTTGTCTAGTGTGGAGTTCAATTGAAAGTATTAATTGTTCCTTCTTTTCTGTTTTTCGACTTCACTTATTATATTTATTTCTCATTTCCTTTTTAAGTTAACATTGTTGACTGACAGTCCAAAGGAACAGAGCTTTGGAGGGTAGTCAATTGTCTGTAAAGAGAGCACAAAGCACATACAATATAACATTATGCATTCTGTGCAAGACACTGTGCTACTTTACATTTGTTGTCTTAATTTAATCCTCCCATCCACCCTATGAGACCTCCATCTTGTACATGAAGAAACAGAGACCAAAGACTTTTGCTCTAGAGTTGATAAGGGGTGGAACCTGCAAACGGCCCCAGGTATGACTGAATCTACATTCGCCACTGCCTCGTGAGCCTGTTCCTTTAGTAAAAAAAAGTGAGCAGGAAGACAACTGACATGTCCTTAATTGCCCAGGTGATTAGTGATGTTGAGCACCTTTTCATGGACCTGTTGGCCATCTTTATGTCTTCTTTGGAAAAATGTCTATTCAGATTCTCTGTCCATTTTTAAATTGGACGTTTTTCTTTTTGATATTGAGTTGTATAAGTTCTTTTTATATTTGGATATTAACCCCATATCAGATATATGATTTGCAAATATTTTTCCCATTTGATAGGTTGACTTCATTTTGTTGATGATTTCCTTTGCTGTGCAGAAAGAAGCCTTTTAGTTTGATGTAGTTCCACTTGTTTTTTCTTTCCTTTTTAAATATTTATTTATTTGGCTGCTCCGTGTCTTAGTTGCAGCATGCAGGATGTTCACTGCCACGTGAGGGATCTTCCTTGAGGCATGCAGGATCTTTAGTTGCAGCACGCAGGCTTTTAGTTGCGGCATGTAGGATCTAGTTCCCTGACCAGGGATCGAACCCAGGCCCCCTGCATTAGGAGCATGGAGTCTTAACCACTGGATCACCAGGGAAGTCCCTAGTTCCACTTGTTTTTGCATTTGTTGCCTTGGCTTTTGGTGTCAAATCCAAAAAGCCATTGTCAAGGCCAGTGTCAAGGAGCTTACTGCCTATGTTTTTTTCCTAGGAGTTTTATGGTTTCAGATCTTATTTTCACATCTTTAACCCATTTTGAGTTAATTTTTGTATATGGTATAAGATAGTGATGCACTTTCATTTTATGCATGTGGTTGTTCAGTTTTCCCCTTTATTGAAGAGACTGTTCTTTCCTCATTGTATATTCTTGGCTTCTTTGTTGTAAATTAATTGACTATATATGTATGAGTTTATTTCTGAGCTTTCTATTCTGTTCCATTGATCTATGTGTCTGTTTTTATGCCAATACCATAGTGTTTTGATTACTATAGCTTTGTAATATAGTTTGAAATCAAGAAGCATTATGCTTCCAGCTTTGTTCTTTTTTATCAAGACTGCTTTGGCTATCTGGGGTCTTTCATAGTTCCAAACAAATTTTAGGATTATTTGTTCTATTTATGTGGTAAATGTCATTGGAATTTTGATAGTGATTGCACTGAGTCTACAGATTGCTTTGGGTATTATGGAAATTTTTTTTTTTTTGTGGTACGTGGGCCTCTCACCGTTGTGGCCTCTCCCGCTGTGGAGCACAGGCTCCAGACACGCAGGCCCAGCGGCCATAGCTCACGGGCCCAGCCGCTCCGCAGCATGTGGGATCCTCACAGACCAGGGCACGAACCCGTGTCCCCTGCATCGGCAGGCGGACTCTCAACCACTGCGCCACCAGGGAAGCCCTATTATGGACATTTTAACAATAATAATTCTTCCAACTCATAAACACAGAATATTTTTCTATTATTTGCATCTTCTTCAATTTCCTTCATCAATGTCTTATAGTTTTCAGTGTATAGATCATTCACCTCCTTGGTTAAGTTCATTCCAAGTATTTTATTCTTTTTGATGCAATTATAAATGGGGTTGTTTTCTTAATTTCTCCTATGATAGTTTGTTATTAGTGTATAGAAACACAACTAATTTTTGTATATTGATTTTGCATCCTACAACTTTACTGAATTCATTTATTAGTTCTAACAGTATTTTGGTTGAGTCTTTAGGGCTTTTTATATATAACATGTCATCTGCAAGTAGTGACAGTTTTACTTCTTCCTTTTTTTTTTTTTTTTTCGGTACGCGGGCCTCTCACTGCTGTGGCCCCTCCTGTTGTGGAGCACAGGCTCCGGACGCGCAGGCTCAGCGGCCATGGCTCACAGGCCCAGCCGCCCCGCAGCATGAGGGATCCCCCCCAGACCGGGGCACGAACCCGCATCCCCCACATCAGCAAGCAGACTCCCAACCACTGTGCCACCAAGGAAGCCCACTTCTTCCTTTTTGATTTGGATGCTTTTATTCCTTTTTCTTGCCTAACTGCTCTGCCTATGACTTTTAATACTATGTTGAATAAAAGTGGTGAAAGTGGGCATCCTTGTGTTGTTACTGATCTTAGAGGAAAAGCTTTCAGCTTTTTCACCACTGAGCATAATGTTAGCAATGGGCTCAAATTTCATTCTTGAGTAGAATTCATCATTTGGGGTGGGTGTGGACCAAAATCTCACTTAAGTAGTCTCTTAAAAAAAACAAAACAAAAAACAAAGGCAATCTTTCTCCACCAATGAAAATGCTGAACAACTTTAAAATAATTTTTCACCTGCTTCTATACATAAAGCTGTCAAAATATTTAAGCTCCATTATTACACAACCTAAATGTACAACGTTAGATGAATGGATAAAGAAGATGTGGTACATATATACAATGGAATATTACTCAGCTGTAAAAAGGAACGAAATTGGGTCATTTGCAGAGATGTGGATGGACCTAGAGTCTGTCATACAGAGTGAAGTAAGGCAGAAAGAGAAAAATATTGTAAATTAACGCATATATGTGGAATCTCGAAAAATGGTACAGATGAACCTATCTGTAGGTCAGGAATAGAGTTGCAGACGTAGAGAATGGACATGTGGACACAGGGGGGTAAGGCGAGGGTGGGACGAATTAGGAAATTAGGTTTTACATAAATACACTACCATGTGTAAAATAGATAGCTAGTGGGAACCTGCTGTATAGCACAGGGAGCTCAGCTTGGTGAGCTGTGACGACCTAGATGGGTGGGATGGCAGAGTGGGAGGGAGGTGCAAGAGGGAAGGGATATAGGTATATATATAGCTGATTCACTTCACTGTACAGCAGAAACTAACACAACATTGTAAAGCAATTTTACTCCAATTAAAAAAAAAAGGCTATCTTCCTCCAGCAACGAAAATGATGAACAACTTTAAAATAATTTTTCACCTGCTTCTATACATAAAGCTGTCAAAATATTTAAGCTCCGTTATCACACTCCATAATATATGTCATGGCTCCAGGTGATTACTCTAGAATGAGGAGATGAATCTTTCGTAACCCTCCCCCCAGAAATATGCACACTCCGCCACCTTATGCTCTGTTATGGAAAATCCTTCTAATTCCAGATGCTGATTGGTGGGGGGAGCTAAATACTTTGACTATGACCTTACCTATGAGATAGATTTTGTGTCTTTGAAACCTGTAGCATAATGAACTATAATTACAGACATTTCAAATTCTCAGTAGTTTTTGCTTAATCAGAGTCAAAGGCAAAATCTGCATTTACTTGTGGGAGAACCTTTCAGTGAAATTTTAAGATAAAACTCAAGGCCTATTCCTCACTAGAGTGGTTGAGACATGATTTATACAGCTCGACTAAACTTAAAGATGAGCTGTCTTCAGTGTAGGCAAAATTACATCCTTATGGAGCTCATTGTAATGTTGATCACTGAGAAGGAAGGATTTTGTTGAGAGAAAAGTTGGAAGTTGGGGACCCAGGGTTTGTTTAAGAGGGTCCAGGTAAAGGACCGAGGCACAAGAGGCTGGAAGGTACTGCCCTCTGGAAGACTGCTGCCTCTTGAGTTTTGATGCATTGATGTCACACATCCATTATCTCCTGTTTTCTGAATTGTAATCCCTGTTATTTTCAGAAAGCCCAGACCCAAATACTTTTTAAAAATGGGATCCTATCCTACATGCTCCATTTATTTTGGACTCCCTCCCTTTAAGAAGATGCTATCTTAATTTATTTCATGATCATCTCCTCTTTTTACCCCCTTCACTGGCTGCAGCTCTCCTCACTTTGTTCTTGAAAATCACTGCTAACTTAGTGTACAACTTTCCATATCCTTTTCCATAGTCATGTAAGTATACATACATATATATATATATATATATATATATATATATATATATATATAGTGTGTTTTAGGGGTAATCTTTTAAAACTGAGCTCACATTATTTATATTCCTTTGAATCTTGCTTTTCTCTGCATAGTGGCAAGCTCAGCAAGTCATCCTATATTTCTAAATCATTTCTTTTCATGACTGCATAGTATTCCATGGTATTTTGTTAAGTATCTTCTACAGTTAATTCAACCATTTTCAATAGTTGGCCATGAATT